AAAAAAAAAAAAAAAAAAAAGAATATATATATATATATATATAATTACAAAAAGGTCTGAATACATGTGTCTGTATGTGGGTTTACTAGTCTCATAATTTTATGATTATTTAAATAAAATAGACTTTTTTCTATCTCCTTACTTTCCTACACTCTCACTAAGGAGCCAATTGGCATTGATTGACGTGGGGGTCCTGCCCTGCAAGGGTCGGGGGTCCCTTTGAGGTGTGGCGGCATCAGTGATTTAAACTGGAGGGATAGATATAAAGAGAAAGAAAGTGGGGAGAAAGAAAGAGAGAAGACATTGGAGAGAGTATCTGATCCAATGCCGAGATACTAAACTTTTGTTTTGTGAAAGATATGTGAGAAAAACCTTTTACGAAATACTTTTTAGTCAATTGACTAGCCAACCTACCTTTTCCTGTCCATGTTTTGAAGAATCTAAATCTGAAATCCAGTTCTCAGATTTAACAGGAAAAGAGAAAAATGCCCCATCAAATACATGTTTTACAATTTCATTTCTAAAGGGCATATGATGGAATCTATTAAACGTGTAGAGAAAGAAGTTTCAAATGTATAAAGATAAATCAACAAATTGGCTATATATTATTATTGTCCAAGAAACTTCAACTTTTATGAAGTGTCAGATAAAGAAACAGACATATATTTATGCAGAAAACAACAAACAAAATCTCTGCCCTTTGCAGCAACATGGATGCAGCTGGAAACCTTCATTCTAAGAAATATTACACAGAAACAGGTAACTAAATACCGCATATTCTCACTTATAAGTCGGAGCTAAACACCAAATGCACATGGGCATTAGAAGGCAGACAACATACACTGGGGACTCTTTTATGGAAAAAGGAAGAGAGGGAGGAGGAAAAGGGTTGAAAAACTACCTATTAGGTAAGATGCCTACCGCCAGGCTGATCACAATAGATGCCCAAATTGCACCATCACACAATATACCCATATGACAAAAAAAAAAAAAATAAAAATAAAAATAAAAAATAAACAAACTTAAACATAAAGCAATCCAAACTTTGTGTTCTATCAGGTGTCACATACCTAAATAGCTATAGATTCAGGCAGGCAAGGCAAAGGATCTTATAAGCTTGAGTGTAAAATGGTACAGGGATTAGTAGTGGTAGAGAATCATGCCCTCTCTACAGGGGACAGGATTTTAGTTTTAGCCTTTCTTTGCTATGTGAAAATCCAGGTCTAGTGTCACCAGTGTGTCAAAAGAAACCACAAATTCAGATTTTAATATGTGATTTTTAGTTCTGTAAAACACTATTTTTGACAAACAACAAGAAAAAAACATATCTGAGCACATCAGCTCTGTGCCTGTAAATTTCCATGTGATTTAATAGTATAATGAAATCCAAGCTATTAAGTATGAAACTGCAAGGAGATCAAGGAAGAACTGTAGATTATTTCTGATAAATCTAAGTTCAGTGTGATGATATGCCTAACAGACTCACCAGGCTGACAAAAATGCTGATCATTTTTTTAGAAGAGGAAATATTGAAAATGAAGCTACAAAAAATGTGAGCCAAATAACTGAACATGTAAAGCACATAAAATACTGGCCCTTTTGTTAATCACATATTAGGAAGCACAAAACGAAACTGTAGTCGATCAGACATAGATAACTAAGCTGTACTGATCAACGATATCCATGTGGCAGAGAGGAGAGGTTGAAGTTCAGGTCAAGAGTACATGAAGGCAAGTAAGAAGAGTAGATTTTGTTTTTGTTCTTGTTTAGTTTTCCTAGAATTCTTAGAAAGATAAGAAATAAAAGGCAATGATATTGCGGTCTGTAATATACTATGTGTAACTATGGGGTTAACCCTCAGATTTATTACAGGATTCTGGAATAATAGTACCAGGAGGCTTTCTTGTAAAATTAAAAAGAAAAGAAAAGGAAAGAGAAGGAAAAAAAAGATAAAATTAGCTTACCTTTAGTCAATTTACACATGTGAAATACGCCCATAATAAAGGTCTTATCTCTAGGAGTTATTTATGCTGAAAATATTTTAAACATTTTTTGTAAAAATAGTTTTCAAACTTTGACATGCATTTGAATCATGTTGTGAATCTGTTAAAAGGTAGATTGCTGAGCCAAATCTTAGAGGTGCTGTGTCACTAAGTCGGGTTTGGGGGCCCAGAAATCCACATTTTTAAAGAGTGTACCAGGTATTTGTGATGAATTAGTAATGCAAAAAGACCTAATTTTGAGAGACATTAGGTCAGATAAGAGCAGAAACCAAGTCTGCAAGCACCTTAACCTTCAACTTTAACCTCTAGAACTGTCAGAAATAAATTTTTGTTGTTTAAAAGTCACCCATTTTAGCTCATGTTGTTACAGCAGCACAAATGGACTGAGACAAAGTGCTTTAAGCCTCATTGAAGAAGGACTAGACAATAGAGAATATTCTTGCTAGAGTTTATGAAAGCTGATGATGAGAACTAAGTTACCATGTGTCTTCTGTCAGTGGGAGTGTGAGGGATTGACGTAATTTGAGAGTAAAATTTCATGAATACTTGATAAGCTAAGGCAAACATGAAACTTTGAGAACTTACACTTGGAGCACTGTCCTAGGATCTCCAACTTCTCCCCCATCACCAATTGTCAAGGTATCATAGCCAATCTCCAGATCGAATTCTTCAAAATTTATTTGGATCACCTAGCAATAAAAAGAAGCATAAACTTTAAATATGTTGCATTATGTAATAAAAACAAAAGGAAGGCAACAACAGAAAAAAACATTCAAACTGCAAAACAGGCTCATATATGCACATACAAACACACATACATACATGCATATGAATTTCATAACATGACTGCAAGCCATGAAGAGTATTCCTAAAGTTCAATTGTTACATCATTACATGGTTTTACTTGCTGTATTGTACCTTCTGTATTAAGTTTTCAATGAAACTGCATGACTTCTGTTTTTAGAATACTCTTATTTGAAGCATGATTAATGCATATCTACTTTGAGAAAGTTTTATAAAAAGCACATGTAGGTGGAGAGTGGTTTTCCACACATTTGCATGTATTTTTTGTAACGTTAACATGGAAAAACAGAATGTGCTATTTTCATTAAGTCATAAAACTTAAAAAAGTAAGAGCTAAATTTGAATCTAGATCACCCAATTTAATATTATCAAGTTTATTTTTATGTATCCTTTGGTAACAGACTCTCTCAAATATATTAACATGTGCTGGCAAACTTCAGAGCAAATACTTTAAAAGACGTATTATACCACGATATATAATTCAGCATTATTTCTTACTAAAACATACTCATGTATTCATACATTATTTTTATATCTATGCAAAAAAATTCAAATTTAGTTAAAATTGCAATCTGTTAATTAGGTCTCTAGTATAATATTAAAATAATATAATTAAGAACTAGTACAGAAAGAAGTTACATAAATGTTGCCCTATATACAATGATGCTTCGAGCAACAAATAATTTATAATAAAATATTCATCATCTGATAAAGGAAAGGAATGCCTTAGGTTACCAATATTAATAGAGAATAACTAAAGAAGACCTATCCTTAGTAATAGTCATAACTACTTGTTACTTTATTATTAAATTTATTTTCAAATAAAAGACTCTATTTCCTGACTTTTCTTTAGCTATATAATAAAACAATTTTTGACTATCTTTATTTCTTGGTTTTTTAATGTTTATATTAGCACTGACTAAAGTAATTGTTTTGGCCAAGTTAAATAAAGTATTTTTAAAGAACATTACATTAAACATTTTACATAGTTATAATTAAAAAATGTTTCTGTGCTCTACTTAAAGTTAAATATAAATATGTTTAATTAATAATATTTGTCAATAGAATGTTTTTCTATTATAAACAACATGGCTATGAGAAATATTTTTATTTTATTTTCAAGTTGTGGGGTACAATTCAGGTCATTGTACAGGTGAAGGTTGGGCTTCCCACTGATTCTCACTTCACCCGATTTGGGATCAGGTATCTTTACTGATGTTATGTACTCCCCTTACCTCCCTCCCCTGTCAGTGTCCCACTACTGCCAATTCCTTTCTTGTAGAATGATGATAAATGTTGGATCCACTTATGAGTGAGAACAGGTAGTACTCAGTTCTTTGTTTCTGCGATAATTACTGAGTATGATAGACTTTAAATCCAGACTATAAGCAACATTAAACATATTCTGGTTCACGTTTTCAAGTATATTTTCAAGGAATATTCTTGCTAGGTAATAACAAAGCAAAAAGTCACTTCACAGCATCGTGTCATACAGTTTTCCAAAATTGTTTTACCAATTCAAATGTTCATAATTGTGTATAGTAGATTTTTTAATTTCTACCAAGCTAGTGGTTGTAAAAAATGAGTTTTTTGCAACTTATTTAATACTAATTCAGTTGCATATATTTTCATATGTGTGTCATTTATGTTCCCTTTCTGTGACACGACTATTTGTATTTTGGCAGTTCTCTTTTGGACTGCTTGTCTGCTTGTTATTGATTGTGAAAAAAAAATTATACCACTTTTCTATTATAGCACACATTGAGAAGAATAATATTTGTAAGACACAATAAGAGTGAAGAGACAAGGCTGCTTGCAATGAAAGATTTTGTTTGTTTGTTTGTTTTTGTCTAGGACCTGCCCTGCCACACAGAGAGCTAATATCAACACCTTAGGTCTATCAGTAGCTCACTCATAATATATCATTAGGCCTGGCTCACTAGTTGACATCAGCTTTATATAGTCCAGACACTAATCAATTACATTGTGTTTCAATAGCTTCCAGTTTATAGCTTTTTAAAAATCTTTCTTTGTTGAATCATTTTATAAGAAATGATTAATTTTTACCAGAGTAGGACTTGCTAATCTATTATTTTATTTTTATTTTATTTTTTTTGAGTTGGAGTCTCACTCTGTCACCCAGACTGGAGTGCAGTGGCCGCTCCCAGTCACTGCAGCCTCGACCTGCTGGGGCTCAGGCGATCCTTCCGTTTCAGCCTTCCAAGTAGCTGGAACTACAGGCGCGCGCTACCACACCCGGCTAATTTTTTTGATTTATTGTAGAGATGAAGTCTCACCAAGTTGCCCAGATGGGTCTCGAACCCACGGGTTCAGGCAATCCACTCACCTTAGCCTCCCAAGGCACAGGATTATAGGCTGAGCCATCGAGCCCGGCCTAATCTATTATTTTTATGAGTAGCACTTTTGCATTGCCTATGACCCAAAAAGATATTTTCTTCAAAATTTTTTTTGTGTGTGTTGACTTTTATAGAAACTGTGAAGTAGCTATGTGTGGTGGGCAGAATTCTAAGATGTCTTGCGATATTCCAATCCCCAAGTCTAGATAACCTATGTAATTTCCTTATCTTGAGTGTAAGAAAGACCTGTGAATACGATGGGATATGAATCTCTTTATTAGGTTACATTATATGGAAATAGAGAGGGAATACTACAGTTGTTTAATTAAGGTCTCTAATCAGCAAAATTTATGTTAATTAAAATGGAGAGTATCCTGGGTAGCTCTGAATACTTCAGGTGAGTCCTTTAAAAGAAGATCTAGAAAGGAACGACAAAAAAAAATCAGAAGAGAGGCTCTCCTGTTGGTCTCCAAGATACATATTACCACGTTGTGGGGAGGCAAACATAGCAAGAAACAGTGGTCAGCTTTTAGGAGCTGAGGGCCTCAATCCTACAACCACAATAACTGAATTCTACCAACTACAAGTGAGCTTGGAAGAGGTCCTACAGTCTCAAATGAGATCACATCCCTGGCTGACACTTTGATTTTACCTTGAAAAGAAGATCCAAGTAAACTGCGTCTAAACTCCTAAACTTCTTTCCTGTGAAAAATTGTGAGATAATACATTGATGTTGCTCCATGCTGCTAATTTTTGGTAATTTGATATGCAGCAATAGAAATCTAGCACAGTATTCCTAGTACTTTTTTTTAAAATCAGATTCTCACTCTGTTGCCCAGGCTGGAGTGCAGGGGTACTCCTCATGGACACCACAGCCTCAATTTGCTGGGCTCAAGGCAGTCCTTCCATTTTGGCCTTCCAAGTAGCTGGAACCGCAGGTGCACATCAGAACTCTCGTCTGATTTATTGCAGAGGCAAGGTCTTGCCAAGTTGTCCAAGCTGGTCTTGAACCTCTGGGCTCAGGCAGTCCTCTCGCTTCCATCTCCCAAAGTGCTGGGGTAGTAGACGTGAGCCACCATGGCTAAGTTAGTACATTTTATTGACTAAATAGTTTTCTGTTTTTCAGTGATCTGCATAGCAAACTCTACCATACGTCAAGATTCTATATATGAGTATGTGGGATTTGGGCTCTAGATTCTGTTCTCTTGGTCAGTTCGTGTGTACTCAAATTACCACAAATTGGTTTACCAATCATTGCTATAAAGTAAGAATTTATCTTATAAATCAGATGCTCTATGAATTCCATTCTTTTATTCCTTGGGAGTATTTTGACTAGTGTTAGACTGTTTCTCTTTCATATATGAGCTTGTAAGATTATGTAAAGGATATTTTGTGCTATTAATTGGAATTACACTGTATTTATAATTGATAAATTCTTACTTTATAGCAATGATTGGTAAGCCAATTTGTGGTAATTTGAGTACACACGAACTGACCAAGAGAACAGAATCTAGAGCCCAAATCCGACATACTCATATGTAGAATCTTGACGTATGGTAGAGTTTGCTGTGCAGATCACTGGAAAACAGAAAACTATTTAGTCAATAAAATGTACTAACTTAGCCATGGTGGCTCACGTCTATAATCCCAGCACTTTGGGAGATGGAAGCGAGAGGACTGCCTGAGAATTTGCTATGCAGATCTGAAAACTGACATCTTTAAGGTAATAAATTTTCCTATATTTAAGCTGGCTTCTCTCTTCATTTATCTAGATCTTTAAATGTCTTTTAACAATATTTTATGTTTTATCTATGTTACATCTTGAAAATCTTTGTGTAAGTTATAAGTTATATATATATGGTATCAACTGTTTTTTCTTGGTATGCAGAATTTTACTGCATATCGATCTCATATCTAGGCACTGGACAAAACTTTCTTATTATTTAAAAACATTGGTAAATTATTTTTGGTTTTTTATATGACAAACATGTCTTCTGTTAATAACATGTTTGATTCTCCCTTTCGAATGTTACACTTTTCTTTTATCTTAGCTGTCTTAGATATCTGGTACAACGTTTAACTCAAAGAGGTGGTAACTGGTCTCGTTAAATTGTATCTCACTTAAAAAACAAATGTTTCTGCTTACTAAGAGTATTAGTAAAGTAGATATACACTATGAAGCTAAAAAAGTTTTTTTTCCTCTGGTTATCCTTGCTGGTTTAGTATCAAAATTTTACTACTATCAAACAAGTTGACAAGTGTGCACTTTCAGTTATTTGAAAGAGCTTCTACAAGTTTGGGAGAAATCTATTCCTGAAAATTACATGTAACTGTCCTGTAATAACATCTGAGCCTCTTTCTCGGGAGTGTATATGGGCCCTTTATAGTTTCTTTGCATGTTTTAATAGTTACAGAACTACTTGGGCTTTCTGATTTTTCTCTTGAGTCAATTTAAGCTAGTTTTAGTTTTCTAGAAACATCCAAATGCCATGTAAATTTTCTAATTTATTGCTACTAAGCTACTTTCT